GAGAGAGAGAGAGAGAGAGAGAGAGAGAGAGAGAGAGAGAGTCAGCAGAATATAATTGATGGCCAGAGGCATTAACCCATATATCTATATGTATAGTATACTAAAATTGGGTTATTCAGTAAAGACAGGCATCAATGACCTGAGCAGAGGTTGGTGTCCGCTAAGCGTTTACTACTATTAATATGGAAAAGCACTTATCAAAGACAATGTCAGAGATGTATGTTAAGTCTCGTGTGTCGTTGCGCTAAAACATAGCACATTTAAAAGGCATGTATGAATTATATACAGGTATGTATGAAATGGTATGTATGGCGTGGAAACAAACAAAGTGAACACCTTTTCGATCACTGCGATCGGGTCTCTCATATGTTTGAAAACATAGTATTCAATAGATTTGAGTACAGAATTATTTGTGTAAAAGAAGCTGACCTCACATTAGGGTCAATGATCTCTAATTAAGGTTAAGATGAAAAGAGCACTAACTTCTCTCCAATACCACTACCAATAGTGGCTCAGCTCTTGCACTACTAATTTGATTCTTGAGGTGAAAACTGAATTTTAAACCACAATCTATGACAACAACTCACGCGTGACTGAGATTTCATTCTTCACATGTACTCTAAGAAGAATGCATTCAAACACATCCTTCGGACCATCAATTCACTCCATAAAATTAGTTTTCGTTCCCACACTAATGCTTTACACACTTATGCAGCAAACCTTTTTCAATTTCGCACACATTTTCTCTTCATTTCATTTTATCCTTTAAAAAATTGCATTGTTTTACAAATTTTATCGAATCTTATGTTGTTTTTTATACATCATTGTTTGGCGCATACATTGTGTCCAACACTATATTTCCTTACTATTTATATATAAACACAAATGTCCACAATATTCTCAATTTACTGTCTCTTATAGACAGTTGCATATGAAAGACATCGCTGTCTAAAGAATTTAAATACTTTTTTCGGGAGGAGTTCTCAATCTCTTTCAAAACTGATGGCAGACAGGCTTACAGTGCGAAGGGATCTACAAATGAACAATTTTGTTGTTCACATTTACAAATATCTAAATATTTGAATTATAATATAAATGTTTTTCGGTGTTGGGTTGTTTTGCTGTAAATATTTGATAAATTGTGGTAAATTTGTCGACTTTATTGAGTTAAAAAGCGTGAAATGGCTTTGTATGGAAGAAATTAGTGGTCATCATAAAAAACATGATTAAAAACAAAGTGTTGTTGACCTTAGTGTTAGTGGTACTCATAGGTATCCATAGGCACCCATTGGCACCCAATACTCGATTGTTCATGACTTCCTTATATATTGTGTTGGTTTTGATGGGTATTGTCTTTCTCTTACATAAGAGCCACTCCTATGAGCCCTATTGAGAGATGTATTATATTATTGATATGCGATGTCCTGAGCTTTTCCTAAGCTATTCTTTAATCATTTGCTCAGATAGTAAGGCATGAGTTATGATTGAAGTAATGTTAATAAGTATTGGAATAGTGTATAAAGTGGTGGAATAGTCAGTATTGAATAGTGGGATGGAATGGTAGGCACAGATACTATACGATCTCAAATACAACCACAGTATAGCCTATTAACTATATTAATAAGTGAATGACTGCTTCACCTCATTCTCACCAGTCTTTCAAGAGTCAGAGACTTCTCTCTGAACACAAGGTGTTTGTATTGAAGGTGAATGACAGGAGCTGTAGTCCCTTATAGTCTGTTCCACTATCTGTTCCACTTGGATGCTATCAAAAGAGATTACATTATTGTCATGTTTTGCTTCTCTTATTTTCATGGTTTCCCTATTTTTCCAATGCATTCATTAAACAACATTTCCTTTTTCTCCTTTTTTTCATATCTATTAACACTTATCTAACACAATATGAATGAAGAGAATGAAGCGATCGTTCATTTAATCTTTTTCTCGTATTTTTCAGAAACTATTGTAAAGACATTCATCGCGAGTAAGAAGAGGTGAATAAAAGTCATTTTAGTTTCTATTGTAAACTTCATTCGCGATAATTGACGGAAGAGTGGCTTCCCTTAAGCGCAGAGCAATGGGGAGGAAAAAGATTCAAATCTCTCGCATCACTGATGAAAGAAATCGACAGGTAATCAACACTAACCCAACGCTAACCAATACTCTCTCAACAATTTGTTTAAATCTATCGGATTTAATAATATTTTATTTGAATAAATTGCACCAAAATTTCAATTCTCGTGAACCTGTTTTCACAATTGAGAGTCTGCTGAGCCCTCAGGCCGTCACTCAATTCACTCGTTCACTACACTATAGCCCTATTTTCCAACATTAAGTCGAACAGTAAAAGTATTATATATTTTGGTAAATTTGTGCATAAATAACAGGTTACTAAAACTTGCAGTTATGTATTTCAAACTTGTTAAGTTACACTCTATGTTCACTTAATATAGCACTGCATTCAATAAAACGTTACTTCACATCATCTTTTAAATTATATTTTCAAATTTCTTGTTTTTTCTTTTCCCATAACTGTTTTCACGCTCTAAGCCATAGACTATACGCTAAATGCAAACTTATGAAAATCTAATAACTTTCTCAATAAGCGATTACAACTCTTTACGTTTTGCTCAATTTATAGGAATTTTATTTTATAGATTTTAAACAAGACTTAAATTTTATTTTAGGGCAATAGAATATATTACGTTAACTAGCTATAAAAACAATATCTTACAGTTATTGCATGCAATATACAGGACATTACAGTACAATATACAATACAATTTAACTATGATTTATAAATACTGATGGTTATGTGACTAGAATTAAAAGTAATTAGAACAATGATAGATTGGTTGATGTTTTGATTAAATGTCAATATACTGTACATAATGTATATAAGGGTATAATCGGACAAAGACTTATATTTGGTTCAATTGGCTCTTTAGGTCACATTCACTAAAAGAAAGTTTGGTTTAATGAAGAAGGCGTACGAATTAAGTGTTTTGTGTGACTGCGAAATAGCATTAATAATCTTCAACAGCACTAATAAGCTATTCCAGTACGCGAGCACCGACATGGATAAGGTGCTGCTCAAGTACACCGAGTACAATGAACCCCATGAAAGTAGGACTAACAGCGACATTGTTGAGGTGGGAAGCCATCGGGCCATTCATCCAACGAATGAGCCATTCATTGTTTACTTGTCTGCAATCTCTTATCAATCCTTTCTATGCTTACACTCTGCAGGCGCTCAACAAGAAGGAGCACAAGGGATCCTCCAATGGCTGCGACAGTCCAGAGCCCGACGACTCTCAATACACTTTGACTCCGAGAACTGAAGCCAAATATAATAAAATCAATGAAGAGTTTGAACTCATGATGCAGAGGAATGCCGCACACATTAATGGCAACCGAGTGAGCACAACAACCCCTTCTCCGACCCCTTTCCCTATCAATTCAATCCTCAATCCATTCAATCATATCATATAAACATTCAACACATTTAACAACATTTACTTTCAATTCACGATTTAGTCGACACCGACATCAGGAATGAATCAATCTTCAGGAATATCTCCCATTCCCGTGACTTTACCCCTAAACTCTTCGCCATACGGGCCTCAGGATTCTAGTCTATTGCAAAGCACTCAACTCTCACCTCATTCTTCGTGTGTCAGTCCCCGACCCAGTTCTTCAAGTAATGCATTATAAGTTTCATTAAATCCCTAAACTCTTCGCCATACGGGCCTCAGGATTCTAGTCTATTGCAAAGCACTCAACTCTCACCTCATTCTTCGTGTGTCAGTCCCCGACCCAGTTCTTCAAGTAATGCATTATAAGTTTCATTAAAGCATTCACTATATTAAACACATATTCAAATATTTAGACGCAATGTTAGACATGACAAACCCGACCACAAATGGTTATCATCGGTCCTGTTCTCCATCAGCGATGTCGGGAAGCAATTCTCCAAACCTGGTGTCCGTCAAACAGGCGCAGGTCGTCAAGAACTCAACACCTAATGGCACGTCTAATCCCAATCGAGGAATGCGTGTCGTTATGTCTAATTCACACAATAATTTAGTCAGTTTTCATTACTTTCAAAATCTATCAAACTTTATATTAATCATTGGTTTTTGCATTAAAGACATCACGAAATGGCGTCTTAGGAAACACAGCAATCTCTGTGACCACTTCTATCCCCGGTATGCCTGGATATCCGTCCTCTTTAGGCTCGTTTGGTCCGAGTATGTAATCTAAGCATCAAAT